GTATAGTTGAGGACACAAACATTAAGTGCAAAACTTAACATGGGAATGAGGTGTCTAATAAACACAATTCTGAGAATCTACACACATGCATATATTTGAAAGTTGACGATGTATGGCTTTTAGCATGCAGCAAACCAAACATGCTAAAAATAACAATCTATAACGATTAAGAAAAAGAATGACACAGTCCCAACTTCAAGACTTCTAAGGTAAAGTAGTTGAGTTATTTCATAAGTTTCCAAATGAGCACCAGATGTGGGTGGATACACATGTTGTCCCCTCAAGCATCCAGCACTCTTTTTTTTAACAAGGGAAACACCACACAAACCATATATTGACACAAAGCATCTGAGTTTATATAAAAAAGCTTTAGAACATATTAATTTTCAAATTTCCACAGATAATTTACAAGTCATAAAAACACAAACATCACTTATCACTTCACCTGACTCCATAGATTTTTTACTTCGCAATAAGCATTTACTGCAACCTACACCTCCATAGTCCAATTCTGTGTATATGTGGCATGACATAATGCATCCACAGTGGAGTCGCTGCCAATTATTAGTTAAAATTAATGGTAAATAAAACAAAATTTTTGGTATATAAAACAAAATCTGGAGTTCAGAAATTTGTTGATCCGAATATAGACCCAAAAAGCCAAAAACAAACAAAGGGTGAAGTTGCCAGCTCCCCTTCTTGCAGCCATCACAGCGTCTCCATCCATCAGACTTGGAGTGAAAAGTTTCACAAAACTTATCATGTATATAAGCATAACTAAATTTGCAAATAATCAAGTTAGTTACCAGAAACTCTGAAGAATAGTGAGACAATGTACTTACTGAATAACCAAGTTAATGCATATCAAATATGACAATGAAAGGATATTGATCATGTGATCAAAGTAACCCACATACCTAAATACCTTTATAATATTCAAAGACGACAATTCATCTAGAAAACCTAACTAGAGAAGCAGATAATGATAACACCAAGAAAACTAAATACTCAGACCAAAAAAAAAAATCTAAACACAAACACAAAGTAAGTTTTACACCATTAATTATACCTTATCTATCTGATAAGGAAATTCTTGTGACACTAGCTTCATGCAAGCTATTTATTGCCACTAATTTGGACTAAGGATGTGTCTTTGAATATGACTTGCTTATGTAGAGGATCAAGACTTTTTTTTCCCAACTGTTGAAATCCTTACCGGTGTAAAACCCAGGAAGCAAAAGATCACAAGAGGCTAAGTTGAAGATAATAGAGACCGAAGGATAAAACCAAAGTGAACATTAATTCTCCGTAATTTTTTTCAGTGCTCAATACTGTCTAACAGAACGACAATGTCCCAAGTCAGTTTATGGAGCTGAACAAATCCAAATAAGGAAACCTTAGAATTACCCTAAAGGTGGTAACAAACCCAATATGAAAACTCAAGATACTTCAATATTCAACCAGAAAATTGAAAATCCTAAACTATGAAGCTACACCTACGTCAACGTCGCACATACGCGAGTAGGCACACATCACGACTCCGGCACTTACTCTCATCTAGCTTAACAAAGTGCAAATATTGGCAAATATACAGAGGTAAATGAAAATATTATTTCCAAATACATTACCTACTTGAGTCTCTCTAGGATCTTTAATGTAAATCTTATATTTCCTATTTTCTTATTCAATTATTCTTCCTTTTTTTCCTATGAACAAAAACATTAATTACATCTCTCAAGACCAGACCTAGTTAACTACCAACTATGTATGAAGCTGGTTTCACGCAAGCATAGGATTGTAGCCTGAAATTTGATTGAGAACGTCTCAAGTGGTGGAGCAAGGAAATTTTTAAGAAAGGGGCACCTCAAACAATTCAAAATTCTGACAATTTAAGCTAAAGGTTCTACTATTTATAAATCTCTAATTATGTGCTATCTCTCATGTTTTTTAATTTGTAACATTAAAAATCTAAAAGTTATGCATACCAACAAACTATATTAGACTCAAATTCAATAAAGAAAAATACACGAATTTACACAATAATAAATTTCATTCAACTACATATGTGCTAACATATGTAGCTAAAAAGTCCATCAAAACACTACAAGAAATTGATACCCTAGTCTATGTTTAAATTCAAACTCAGAGTCAACGAGCAAGTGCTAACCAGAGAGAAGAAGGTGTCATCAGACACAAAGTAAGAGAGGGAAAGATTTGAAAGAGGTAGACATGAGAGAAGAGAGGTAGAGAAAGCAAAGACAAAGAGGGGAAGGGGACACTTGGAAATTTGAGAGCAATTTCTTATTTCATTGAGAAAAATATACATGTAATCTTTTTCTTTTTTAAAAAAAGAAATTTGAGGGAGGGGTGGAGAAGGGCACCTGCCCGTCTCAAGCCTTAGCTCCCTCCACTCGTGGACTTGCCCTCAATTTCTCTTACAAGATCAGGACCACTTTCCGCATCATTGTCCCAAGTTGCTACATTAGGAAACCCTCAACCACCAACATTGTCCAAGAATGGCTTCATGTAGTAGAAGTAAAAAACGAAGGGCTATAAATGTATTCTCGGAAGTTCTTCTATAATGAACTCACCTATCTATGTTTAAGAGAACACTTTGGATGGAACATACGCTTATTTCTGGTGGTATGCCAACAAACCCTCGTGACCATGCCTTCGCAAGCAAGTTATACCCAGCAACATAGATTGAGAATGTGTTCTTCGGATTTACTACACTCTAGTGGGATCAAGACCCTTGTCCCCATCATTATTATCATTAATATTTGGCCCACGAAAATATGGTAAAAGATGGTAAGTAAACAAACATTAACTTTCGTTGCAAGATACACTAGTTACCTATTTTAAACCTTAATAAACCCATATCAAGGCAAGTAATTCTTGCACTTACTTGTGCCAAATGAGTCAACTACATTGTTTTTCTCCTGTAATGTTTTTCTTCATAAATTGTGTAATAGAATTCTCCAAGGCCAATACGAATAGGAGTTTGAGTTCGAAGAAGCGGAAAGAATTGTCGACCCCAGACTATTCAACATTTGTATGTTTCGATGCAACAAGAAGAAGTTATTTGGAGCAAGTAGTTTTGTTGCTTGTTTAATTGGTCATATTTTTCTCATGAAGTGCGGTAGGGGAAGAGAGAATTTTTGGTAGAGTGGTGAATGCATAGAGATTGGAAAGAACACCAATAACGAGGCTCTATGTTGGACCAACATTGACATTGGGAGACAAGAACTAGAGGATCAAATGGCATTAGATACCGAGAGCCAGGACTGAATTCTCCTTGAGATTCATACTTGAAGCTCAGAACAACCGCGTAAAACGGAGGAGTCCTCAAATTCATTATCAAATGAGGCATTGTTATTTAGGTAGTGGAGGGATTCAAGTAAGACCTTTATTCTAAGAAAGATCTACCATCAAACTACTTTGAAATTTTGCCCACGAACCGCATTTTCAAAAACCAAGGGAGTGGAGTTTCTTTGTTGAATTAATTTGTGCTAATGATCACTGACAAAGAGACCATTCATATTTCAAAAATGCAACATTTTTTTATATAGTATGTCATGAATTTCACAGTCATGACCATACCAAATATTAGTAACCTTGGATTTTGAGAAATGTTCAAGTTGATCATCAAACTATCTTCACTTGGCTTTACTAGTGTAGATACATGTAAAGGCAAGGAAAAGAAACACGTTCTTTAGGTCATAATAATGACTTTCTAAACGTTAACCACGATGAACAAACAACAATAAAAGTAAGTTGTGAAGCATTAGGAAAAAGTTCACAAAAAAGGTAGTAACTGCTACATAGCTCTTCATCGTGAGTCATGCACATCACCTTTAATCCTTTTACAACTTAAGGAGATCATATCGGAGCAATAAAAGACACCTAATTTATGGAATTTATTAGAGTGACAAATTAGGAAAATATAGATTAATCAAAATGTTTGAAGAGAGACATCCCATAATCTTCTTTACAAAAGCATCCACATTTATTATTGTTTTGGGGTGCACAAAGGGAAATTGATCTTCTGATGAATGACTGAGGTGCTTTCTAGAAAAAGTCCTCTACTCTGTTGACAGGGAAGGAAAATGAAACTTCTTGAAAAGTGTCCACGGCTATGAAGTAAAGCATGCCATACTACTAGGAAAAGCTCGAGCGACCTTCAACAAAAGAACTTGTACCCGAAAAACAACACATGCAAGTAGCAACATTCTAGAGAATATCCCTTGTAGTAAGTCGCCGCCTTGTATGTAAGCTTTCTAGGCCTTAACGTTAAGCCTTGGAGCTAGCTGCCTTCCAACGAACATGTACAAGCCTTGAAGCTAGTGGTTGTAACTTGCAAGGAGAGTCCCAAGAATTTATATAGAAACACCAACAATTTCAAGGTTTCAAGATTCATGTCTTCCTTATATCCAAAAATCTAAGGAGCACTTGTTTCATGCGATGGGATCCTTCATGGGATGGGATCCTAGGAGCCCTTACCCATTCCCATTTGAAGGATTTCTTAGAGACCCAATGGTATATTATTTTTGAAAGCATAAATTTAAGGGTTTAGGTTCATTATCATTTATTTTAAATCAAACCTAAGGAATAGGGATGGGTAGCCCACCTCATCATTTGGGAAAGCAAAGCACCTATTTTGGGGGTCTTGGATACCCATGGGTATCGGAAACCCAACCCTTCCTGGTGCGTGGCAGTAACGATAAGTTGCTGTCTAGCAGGAAGAATAGGGCCAAAACACAGTAGAAACAGATTTTTTTTTAAAATAGAAAATAGAGAGATTAAGCCATAGAATTGAAGTTGGAATGAAGATAATTGAGTTCTAGGGTTTAGGGCATGAATCCCAAAAGAAACTCTATAAATCGAATTATGGAATGATATTCCTAACAAACTGAATGCAAGAGTCTCTTAAGAGCCTATTTATACTAGAGTAAAGCAGTCTAGCATTCCTATTCCTTGTTTATTAAGAAAACCTAATCCTACTAGTACTTACCTAATAAATCTATTCCTACTAAGACTACTTAATAAATCCTAATCCTAACAAGAATAAATATGAAAGAAAAACATGACAAATAAAAAATAACTAAAATTCCCAAAATAGCTAGAACCCTGTCCTAATTTGCTAGAGGGTCCGCATACTCTTGGAGAGCCTTGTAGATGCTTCTGCATCAAATCACTACTGATCTACACCACTTCCTTTCCCATGTTGGAACTTACCAAATATGGAAAATAAATCACATACACATTCCCAAGTGCCAAATCTGCAAGACCAACGCTACCTAAGAGACAATGAAACAAAACTGGCATGAACATTTACAGCATTAAGTTCCATCAAATTTACATGATCTTGCTCACTTCTTCCATATGTTGAGGCAAACCAAACCCAAGTTCTGCTCCTTTTCCAATGAATACTAACGCAACATCTGAAAAATTGGCTGATAAACAACTTCGACTCGCTAAATCCATGCATCAACCAAAATTCGAATTTTGGTTTGCTTCACAGGACAGTTATTGCATAAAGTAATGAATCTCTTTATTCGAATCCAAATTTTCATACGTAACCTTAAGACAGGGTATAAACCCATTTTATGCACCAATTCATTTTCTCAGGATCACTAAAGGCCCAGCTTAAATAATAGAAGAGTTCACTTAATCAAATTTGAGTCTAGAAAAGCCCACACAGCATTCAAACCAAAATGTTGATGCAGAAAATACATTACCCAATCAATAGCCATTTATGTGTTCCTTCAATCAACCCATCAACATCCTAGTAGTAACTAGCACCATATATTAAAGTAAAACTTTTAATAATAATATTGCTACTAGAAAATACAGTCATTGCATGCAGGAACATATCCCCTGTAGTGTTTTGTTATGTTGTATTCCCATTAACCTTATCCCATGCTAGTGTGAGCTCCCTCAACAGGGAGAGGCCCACAAGGAAAAAATGTCACGATTTCAACCATGTTCCTTCTGTTTTATGCTAAAAGGAGTGAAGTCATATCCACCAACGCTGAACCAAAAATCTTAACGGATTACATCAGCTGTTTTAAGTCAATCGATTAAAATCAATAACCCAAAATCACCACAAAAAATCAACAAATTTTAGAAATTAAAAGCAAAGAAAATCATGACACTTGACATCCCAAAAGGGCATTAAATCATTATCAACCTGGACCACCTACATCATAGAAAAACACACATAGAAACACCTTCAATACAGTCCCAAAGAGAAAGAGCAATATATATACCAGCAAAACAATCCAAGCCATACATTTTCTCTTCAAAAAGGAAAGGAAAAAAAAAGCACTCTAATTTAAATCAAATAGAGCAAGCAAACATGTCACATACCAGCAAAAAAAAATGACAAATCCTTCAGAGAAACAAAAATGTAAAAGGAAAATTGGCTTACCCGCATTTCCCGCAGAGCTTAGCGAAAGAGCCATCTTTCAGCGGCCAGCCAGTAATGAACTCAGCAATCTCAGCCTTGCAGAAGAAGCAGTGCTCGTAAGCCATTGAAGCCATTGAAGCAACACAAAGAGTGAGGGAGAAAGAGAGAGCAAATGAGACAGAGAGAAACAGAGAGAGCAAACGAGACAGAGAGAACAGAGAGAGCAAACGAGAGCAAACGAGAGAGAGAGAGGCAGAGAAAGTGTTGAAAGATAAGGACATCCAGTATATATACGAGTGAGCGAGTGTGAGTCAGAGCCATTTCAGTGACAACGAAGACGATACGAGGAGGAATTGTGGCCTGCGGTCGCTCGCACCAGAGTCAAAAGGGGGTTTAGGGTTTTGACAACGATTGATTCTGAGGTTTTGCAGTCTGATTGGGTCTGATGTTTCCTGATGGGTACGGGTGTAGTGGGGCGCGTCTGCAGGGGATCAGAGTTCTGAATTTTGATCCTTCCTGAGGTGGACAGGCAAGCATGGCATATTTGGCGTCCATGCAACAACCAAACCTGCCATATTTTGCCGTTAACTGTTAATGGCGCCGGTAGGTGCACAGAATTTCCTCCATTTTTCTCTTCAAGTGGGCCCTCCCGATTAGGATAATATTTGCTTAAGGTATTTTTAATTTTTCTTTTTCTTTTTCTTTTTTTCTTTTTCTGTTGAGAAAATCTAAAAACATGATTAATGAACAAATAGTCTTAGAGTGTTGCTAAACGAACCCTAAAATTAACTGAGTACACCCTATGATCTAAGTATACCCTAATATTTAAATTAAAATTTAGAATTAACTAAGTACACCCTATTTAACTACCAAAATACCCCTATACACCCTGTACACCCTAATACACCACACCACCAAATTTGTCGAATTACATCCCATGGCTTCTTGCTCTGAAACTGTGAATGCACTGGAGGTGCCGCCATGGGAGGAATTGATGCATTTAGCTCATAGTCGTAGCACCAATGGCTATAATTTAGACTATATATAAGTGACTATCATGATCCCCACCGAGATCTGTCCAAGAGCTGGAAGGTTTCGGACTTCCAGCAATACTACATGACATTGGATAACCAGAATAACGAGGATGGAAGTCTTCAAAGGAACCCACAATGGAAATCAACCGTGAAAGATGGTGCTTATATCCAACAGAAGACAAAACCTCCTGATTACAACCCAACTGATTCACATCCTGGTTACCAACCCAATTATCAGTCGAACCAAAGCTTTCTGGCAGTTGCTGATCTTGATTTCCATTTCTAATGTCCCCATTTCCAGTTGATGAGTGAGAGAAATAGAGATGAGGTGCATGATGGGCTTTACCTAAAGGAGATATACTCCCTTCGCCATTGGAAGGGAAAGGATTTTGAGCATCACTTGAAATTGTAAGACCTTGAAATCTGGAGGTAGCAAGGTCTTTTGCATCCCCCATAAGACGGTATTCCGAAACAGCAATTCCATTTGGGGAACTGTCATCTTCCGAGAACATTGTTGGGGATGCCACCTTCATACTGCTTTCATGTGGTCCATTCACACATTGACCAGGTATCTGAACATTTGTAACTTCACCATTCCATGATCCCTCACTATTTAACCCACATTCCCCAATCATGCCACTTGAATAGGCAGATTCTGATTCATAAATTATCTGATCTTGTGACTCTGTACCTGCAAATAATGACGCAGAACCATACCCATCATATCTGGACAATGGGACAAGATCTTGGACATCAGGCCTTTGTCCACCTCCATGTCTATCCAATGTGTTTGCGAAAAACTTTCGGATCTCATCATCTATGTTATCTTCTGTCTGAGAAAGTATGCGCCCTAATTTACGAGCACCATATGTGAAAGCACTTCTTATTCGGTAAAAGTTTCCTGTAATTAGGAATACAGGGTTTCATCAACTAATGAAAATACAGAAAGAAAAAAACAGGAGAAGAGGTCTATAGGGAAACGTAGTTCACCTTTACTCACACTTCGGCCAAGATTGTTATTGTCTTTAAGTGGATCAACTATGTTAAAATGCTTTGGTGGAAATGTTCTATAGTTTGTCTCATGTCCTCTTGACGGAACTGAGAACCTTTGCACACACTCCTTGAGAAATTCATTACTAAGCAATAGATCATTCCCACCATTCTCTGGTGTCTCAACTGCAAAAAGGACCGCAAATAATCTCAATTAAACACGTCTGCTCATACAGCATGTCGCCAATGCAAAAATATGTTGCTCACCTAAGAGTTCTGGAAGTGAAGATACGCGAACCGGACCACTCAAGCTGATGCAATAGTTGTCCCAATCAAATTTACTAAAGTAGTCCAAGAATTTGTATAGGACCTATAGAACATTGAACAACAAGTTAAATTTATGTCATAGAGATATGGAGCATGCTAGTGCTAATTCATTAGAGCACTCACCGCTAGAGGACCATTCAAAGATGAATGGAAGAGATGGAAGATATACAGGACCAAAGTCTCCAAAGCATATGTCGAAATCAAACCATGATGGGCACCAAGAATCCGGCTCTCATAATAGCACCATGCCTTGATCAGTATGATACTGCGCTTAAAGAGATGGTCTTTGCCAATAAGGCGATCAACCTATACAGCATCATGGATATGATTAGGGAAGAAAAAAGCACAAGTAAATACCATAAGACTGAAAAAAAATTTATAAAATGGCTTGAAAAAGGATAGAAGAGGGTGGCCAACACTCAAAAGAGTACCGACTGAAGATCCTTCAAGGTTATCAGCTATAAGGCATAAATCAGCATGTACTTTCTACAGAAGACTAGAAAGAGACATTGCACTGGACAAAGCAGAGCTTCCAGTGAAAGCATCTCTTCATATAAATCTGGTAACCCATTCAATTCGTATTAAACAAATCGAACTTCATTTTCAGTTCAGCTTTGTATGAAAGATTACCTGCTCAAGAAAGCATAGTGTGCATAGCCCTCCTAACTGATTGAAGGAAATATCAACCACAATATTTTGCACAAGGCACTTTACAAGCTTAACCTGCCACAAGAAACCCCCATATTCTTTACCAAAGAAAATCAAAATTTGAGTTAGGAAAAGAAAGTTACACAACATACTAGCACTCGGAACATAAACTTACTGGACATACATGGTGGCATTAATCCTAAGTTGTAACTTATACCTATTATCAATTTCTTTCAATACGAATACGACATCTGTTTGACTCAACCAACGATCTTTAATAAAGTACAGGGGTAAATAAAAACCTCTGCCCGAATTAATTGGACATCTTTCACCGTAAACTCAGCAGCTCCATTTTGAACTTCCCTTTCAAGGACAGAGCAGACGTCATTGGCCAGCGCCTCCTCAACATTTATACCACCAAAAGCAGTCAAATCAATATCTCCATCAGGCAGATAGGTCTTTAGAGGTACAGACCCAAATGGGAACACCTGCCACAATTTAAGTATAAAATCAAAATATGCCGCACATGGTTAAACCCCCTCACACTCCCCGTAATATCACACATTTGTTATCGAAATGCAAAATGTGGAGTTGGGAAGACAAATCAAATGATTTGATGAGAAATTACATATGAAAGCACCCAACTTGCTCAAAGTAAAATTATAAACAGAATTGCATTAGCTTAGCTAACACATAAAATATTAGATATATAAATTCATGCAGGACAAGCAAAATTGGGATTGAAGTAAAATACCCAGCTAATCATAGAAAGCATGTTAGACCAATTGAACCAATGAACTACACTAGTCATAAACTAAACTCAAGGTCCAACCTTTGTGTAGCTAAAGCTAGACTTGACGGCAAATAACCAAATTTTAGGGGCTTTAATCACCAAGTTTTCTGTAATCTCAAATAAAAAAACACCCTTTGCAGTCCCAACACATCGTAGAACACTAAATTCAACTTCAATATTATGATTCATTCACATGCTTATATAAATATACGTAATGCGTATGTATATGTAAAAAGACGGACCTCGCAACCAAGACAACCTCTAATGAGCCTCTGAACGTAATCAATGACCGCCTTCCTTCTCCTCTCGGACACGTCAGTAGGCTGAACCTGAGCTATGACCCCCTGCGTCGCTTCCTCGGCTTTCTTCCAGTACTCGGCGCTAATACCCGCTGCGGCCGCCGCCGACGCCTGATTAGATGAAAACAGGGACGAAGGTGATGATGACAACAACGATGCCGAGGACGGCCTCTCCTCCACAACGGCGCCGTTTAGTTCAGACGACCAATCTTCCCGAAGATCGCCCATGAAATAACCGAATTACCGTGAATCACAAACAAACCGAATTAAACTTCCTCACGCCGCTTGACCGTACAGCCATGACGACGACGGTGAAGACGAAGACTCGAATTGGAAATCGACGGCGCTTATTCGATATGGAACTTTGATCTCTGGCGATCAGATTGGTCATTATGTTTTCCCATTTCTGTTTTAGTTTCTTTTCCATTATGAGTAGCTAAATCCATAACTAGGGCTTCGATGTAACCTACCATGAATATTCTGGGTTTATAAGTTTGGAGTTTCAAGTTTGATTCATGATTCATGTTCTTATTCATTATGCTTATAAGTTAACATGCTTGTTTGAATGATTGATCACCATTAGAACTTGTTTGTTAACTATCTTGGTTTGAATTAAGAGTAGACACCATGCTTTAATTCGAATTGAACTATGAATAGGAAGAGTATGTATGGACATTCGACAACAGGGATTAGATACATGCTTGGTTGTTTAAATTGTTCTTCTATGCTTAATGGGTTCCTAATGCTTAATTTTAGGTTAGACAACAAATGATCAAATTAGGGAATTAGGAACACAAGGTTAGGACCAAACACCATGGCCTAATCATACTTTAGCTAGAATCAATCTTTGAATCTGAATTAGACTTGTTACTTGACTCCATATAACCCAGAATTGAATTGTTATGGTGATTCGAATGCCCTAGTCTCCAAATCTGTTTTCCAACTCTTAAAACCACTCTTTGTTACACTTGTTTATTTGCTTTCATTTGCAATTTCAGTTTGCTCACTTCCTTTCACAATCACAATCACTCTCACTTTAATTTCTGTTTTAGACTTAACTTCCTAACTTCTTGAATTCGGTAATCTACGTACATAACTAATTTGAACTTCACAGTCTTCGTGGGTACGACCTCGTACTTGTCTTGCTATATTAAAAATGTTGCACATAAGGATGAGACTCATAATCCAAGTGAGATGGAGATTGATAGTAATGAAGTAGATTTTGCTACTGCTTCACAACTGGATTCATGAAACTTGTGGAGAAAACTGATGGTGAAGAGTGCAAAACAGAAGTTGGCAGGTACTTAATTGAAACATGTGAGAATCCAAAAAAATGAGAACTTTGATCTCCTGGGTTGGTGGAAGATGAATTCTGAAAAATCTATAAGATTTTGTCTTATATTGCACGAGATGTGTCAGCAATACCTGTCTCTACTGTAGCATCTGAATCAACATTTAGTACTAGTGGTCGCATTCTAGATCCCTTTAGGAGTTGATTATCCCCAAGAACAGTGGAGGCACTCATTTGCACTCAAAATTGGTTAGGTTCTTCACCAAAAACTGATGTTCTTGAGATTGTAGATGAAATGGAAAAAATTGAATCAGGTAAATATTATTTTAAAATAAGTTTCATAGTTGAAGTTAATTAGTACTATTTTTGTTATATTTATCTTAATATGGTGTTTTCTTCTTTTGTAGAAATTTTGGGTACTACAACAAAACTTACTTTGAATGAAACTTGATGTGGAATATGGTTGCATGCTCTGTACGTAAGTTTGTTTCATTCTTTTATCTAATATTGTTATATTGACATTCATTATATCTCAGCTCTCTTAAGTTAAGAGTATTAAGTATATATACATATTTGTTGATTGCAGGATATAATATAAACTTACGAAAGAAATTAAAGGATTGTTGGACCTGGAACCTTGAAGAGTTGTCTAAGTATTTATGTTGACTTTGGTTTAGTGTTTCTTTTTTTAAGGAATGGATGTAACTTGAACTCTAAATGTCGAACTTTGTGTTGTAGTCCTGTTTTCTAAAATTTATTTGTGCATATTTAGTCCATACTTAATGGTATTTTCTATCGGATTGAATTCTATATGATTATCTTTGTGATTATCATATTTTCATACAAACCGATCATCCAATCCAATCTAATCCAATCCAATGTACATTGGATTCAATTGGATTGCATCCTGACATCCGAACACATTGGATCAGATTGTAAAATCCCAAATACAATAAAAAATTGGATTGGATTGGATTGATAAAAATTCATTGGTTTGGAACCGATGTATTTTAGATTTCTTACCTTCTTTTTTTCGTTATTCCATAAGGGAGTCGAGCCCTTTGCCTAATCAAATTATAACCCATTTCCCAACCTATCCTCTCAACTTTACCTAATTTCTTAGCCTCTTAACTAATTGCTTCACCTATATAAATATCCTATCACTACAGGAACTTCAAGTACTTAAGTGCAGCAGTCAATTTCCTATATACTATATACGTATCTTATACATTCCTGCTATATAATTGCTAACTCAAAAAGACATGGACAAGTCTTCATCAAAATTGGTTGTTCTGGTTGTGCTCATGGTCATTGCATCTGGTAAAATCTCTCATTCCCATTTCGCCATGCTTTGTGTTTAAAATTAAGTTAAATTTGGATAACTCCCAAGATTCAATATCGACTAATATCACAATACTCATTATATAAGTAAATGAATAATTAATTATTGGCAGGTTTGGAGCTATATGCTGAAGCAAGAAACTTCGTAATCGTAGATCCTGATTGCCCCTATGATCCAGACTGCGAATTTTTGCTGTGCAAACCAGAAAGTAGAGGCGCATCACACCATTCCTCCTCCCCTTTCCACCACAACCATGAACTGAAGTTAATTAATTCCAGGCACACATGACATGGTGTTGTTGGTAGTTTGCTCAATAAAATTGTAAACCATAGTTTACAGAGATGATGAAGAATTAATACAAATATAGCTGCTATATTTCTCTTATTAATTTATTTTTTATGATACTAGCGATATCTGGGATGGGGAGATCGAACCTAAGGTGCAGCGGTAAATGTTCTTAACCACTTGAGCTACAAACCCCTTGTATTAATTAATTTATTTTTAATACAAACAATAATCAGAATTACTTGAAATTTATCTTAGGCACTTTGAAACATGAATCAATCGGGCTGATTACACATGGAACAATAGGCATTAGGGCCTTTGTGAAAAAGTGAAAGTGAAAATGGTGAGACAGTCGTAAATAATTTGAGTAGTGAAATGCATTTTTAGCTTTCTTACCCCCCAAATAAAAAAAAGATGCATTTTGTACTTGCTTACCAAAGAAAAATATGCATTTTTCCCTGTATTAAATTTGTTACCATCTTTAGTTAATTGCTTCACCTACATAAATATATACTATGTGGGATTCAAAGCAAGTACTTGAGTGCAACAAACAACAAACGCCATTACCAACATTATACATTCCTGGCTTGCTATCTAATTGCTGACTAAAAAATACATGGACAAGTTTGTATGAAACTTATAATGAAACTGATACAAGAATCACAAAAAAGTATGGCTTTTCCTTTTACAAGTATAGCCAACGAGAATCCTCAATCATATAGCAGCTTTGCAGATTGGGTTCTCAAGGTTTTGCTTTCATGCTTCTTAGTTTTTTCAACAGCCTGCTCTTTTTTCGATATGGCTCTTACTATGGCTTTTTTCTTTCGGGCATTTTTTGATCTCTTCATTTGCCTTCCCTTTATCTTTCTGTTACAGGAAAATGTTCACAATTAGAAGAGCTGTAAACAAAAAAACAGAAAACAGACAGATGCAATAAACAAAGGAGCCGGAAATGAAATGAAACCAGGAAAGGCAAATCAATGACTTCAATCACAGAAGCATTTAATGGGTAAATTAAACAAACAAACAATATATAAGTTAATGGGATGAGGTAGAATTTCTTCATTCATCGTTAGCCACCCTTAGTCCATAAGAAAGAGAAATATATTAATCAGGAGGGCAAAATCCTCGACCTTATTTTCATAGGAAAAACATTTTTAATCAAATTCTAATCATGTGCCACATCATTGAACCCTTCCCTTCCCCAAATTTCTCTCCTTCCATGCCTTAAATCATAACCCTATTCCTGCACTTCTGACATGATCAGTCACAGAGCAGTATCAACAAGCTACAAAAACAAGCCTCCTCATTACCCGTTCTAACCATGCTCGAATGACCCCCAAAAACAGAGTGATGTTAAAGTAGTTGCTTCTCAACAACAAAACATGAAGAAGTAACCAGGCTAGATCACAGGCAAAAAGTACTTCATAGTGAGAGTAGCAGAGATACTCCTCTGTCAAAGAACTCGGTACTAGAAAACCATCATAGGTTGACTATCAAAGGGACGATTTGCAATGTTTGTCATGCCATGCAGTAATACCACAGGCCATCTAACACAGCCATTTTCCTAACACGTTAACTTTATACAACCCAACCATCTGTGCCACTTAAGGTGTTGAACCGTTAAAAAATGCAGCAAATTTTTTATGCATATGAAATTCATCCGAGATTTTTTTTATAGAAATTTGGAAATTCTCACAATATGCATATAATTGGTTACATCTATCTAATGAATAGCAAATACAAAATACATTCCAAGATAATTATGAATGAAATCGATTTTGTTTAAAATTTGAAATTCTGCAATATCTTATCAAGTAAACAACCTATATGTTCACACAACAAAAAGAGGGCTAGTAAACATCCATAAACATTAAAGACCCTGTAGCACCACATATGCACTCGTTTATTTGAATTAAACCCAGAAAGCAGCCTCACCCATAATCTTTTAGCAATAGCTACAATACCCAATTAACACAAATCAAGACCACAAATCAATCTGTCGAAGAAAATCATGTTTAAATGTGTGTTTAAGGTTTAAGATTTAAAATTTGTGGTCTTGATTATCACTCCTCTAATAGAAAAACCCATTAACCTTATAAAAATGAGTGCTTGGTAATAATTGATACTTACAAACTAGAAGCACCACCACTTGGGTTGTGAGCCCCAGACTCTGAGGTGTCCATTGCTGCACAATCAATGTACAGAAAGGGTCAAAATTCCCCAAAGCGAAGGAGAGAGAGAGAGAGAGAGAGAGAGAGAGAGAGAGAGAGAGACGAAAGTTATAATCATAGAATTTTACGAAAGCGAAGGAGAGAGAGAGAGAGAGAGAGAGAGAGAGAGAGACGAAAGTTATAATCATAGAATTTTACGAAATTAGAACAGGACTTAATACCTTGCGGCAAATCTGAAACGGGCGCTTCAGTGATGTCCATTGAAGCGGCATCGTTTCTCTTCTTGTTCCTGTTCTTCGCCATGGCTTTGGAGAGAGAGAGAGCCGAATAATCCTAGAAAGGTTGAGCCTTTAAGGGAATAAACCCTAGGCTGAGCACACAAGCGCAGATACCACAGAGGACCCGCTTAAAGGTGGGTAATTGGCTGAGCGGGCCAGCCGAATTTCAATTGGACCACCTTTAACCTTATTATTTTGGGCCATTTTGAGAAGGGTTGAGAAGACTGGAGGGTGCAAACAAATCTTGTGTTATTTACTATTACAGGACCCGAAAGGCTATAATGAGGAGCTTAGAGTGAGGAGCTTATTTGAGGGGTTACAAGAGACAGTCTACTACAACGGTGAGGGGGTTACTTACACACACTGCAAGATGTCATGGGGGTTCAAACTTGAAACCATTGGTTTATAAATTAAGGCATTTTTTAACTGGGCTATACCCCATCAGCATCTAGTGTTATTTACTTCTTGTTTTGTGCATCTACTTTTCTGATTAGTGTCTGCGAGATATTTGAGCTAGGAAAGAATTGAAGTCAAAGCCTATACTATGATTTTGTTTTAAAAAATAGTATATCCAGGCGGCTATACTTATTTTTGACACGTGGCGCCTAATCACTAGTGGGTCTACTTTTTTTATATAAAAAATAATAATTAACAGTACAGCCGCCCGGCTATACTCTGATTTTTTTTAAATTTTTTAAATATACTTGTTTTGACACGTCGCGCATAATTCCTGGAGGGTCCTCTTTTTTTATATAAAAAATAATATCATCGCATGGCTATACCGTTTTACACAAGGGTGCCTAGGTGTTGTGCGACTGCTCTTTTTTTATTTTTTTATTTTATAAATAGTATGCCACACGGCTATACTCGGTTTTTTTATTTTAAAAAAAATAGTATAGCCGGATGGCTTTACGGGTTTCTTTAATTGTCTTTAATAAATCGTATAGCCGAGCGGCTATATATGGTGGATTTCTCCTAATTCCTATGTCTGGAAGGGTTTGTTCAAACCCATAGGCTAGCCTTTGTATCTGTTCTTGGGTTCTCCTAAGACCTGCCAGAACCATTCTTTCATGGTCTAGATCATAGGCTCTATCAGAGGAGGTACTCGACCTGTGTGGTTCTAGGTTAAATCTAGAGGGTGCTAGATCGATCCTAGTTTTTCTAGTACTGGAGAATTGTATTTCTATTTCTCCATCAGCAAATTGGGAGATCCAAGTAAGCTCCTGATTTTCAAGGGGCTTCTTTGGGGTTACCTCATTCAAAATCCACTTTTCTGATAGGGTTATATTACTCCACTTTATCATTTTTGGGACTGCTACATTTGATTTTTCAAGGTTGGTTTGGAACAAGGTAGTTTCACCTTTACTGTCTAAATCTTTAGCTTTGGGACAGACAGTGTTCATAACCTTATATGAAACCCTATAAATGATCGCTAGATTTTGGGATCCTGGGTCCATATCATAACATTGAGTTTGAATATTCAACGTTAAAGCTTTCAAGACATTTATATCAGAAAGTGCAACAAAAAAGTTTGGAAAACAGTTAAAGTATATCGGGCCTTCCCCTAAGGTTGACTCGACTATTCCTAACAAGGAATCTGTGAACTTTCAATGTCTTCCATCTCTTACACAAAGCAAGATTGAACTGGGCAATCCTGTTCTGGTAAGTGGTTTCACCGCTACCTGCACCAATCCTATGTGCAAATAGTTATAATGCAACTAGGAGGGTCCTTTTTCCTTAATTTGTTTGTATTAAATAGTATATCCGTGTGGCTAGACCTTTTAAAGTACAAACTAATGCAACTAGGAGGGTCCTTTTTCCTTAATTTGTTTGTATTAAATAGTATATCCGTGTGGCTAGACCTTTTAAAGTACAAACTAATGCAACTAGGAGGGTCCTTTTTCCTTAATTTGTTTGTATTAAATAGTATATCCGTGTGGCTAGACCTTTTAAAGTACAAACTAATGCAACTAGGAGGGTCCTTTTTCCTTAATTTGTTTGTATTAAATAGTATATCCGTGTGGCTAGACCTTTTAAAGTACAAACTAATGCAACTAGGAGGGTCCTTTTTCCTTAATTTGTTTGTATTAAATAGTATATCCGTGTGGCTAGACCTTTTAAAGTACAAACTAATGCAACTAGGAGGGTCCTTTTTCCTTAATTTCTTTTTGTATTTAAATTGTATAGCCTTGCGGCTATACTAATACTTTTTTTACGTGCAGGTTGTTGAGGCCCAAAAAATCCACGGTTCGGCCCAAATAAATTCTCGGTCCAATGCAATACCTTACCGAGGAGAAGCCCGATTAGGGCACGCGAAAGTTCGTCATACGCACTTGCACACATTCCACGCCAAGCAAATAAGCAACACGTCGCGCTACAAGCTTAAGTGGGCCCAAGCCACTCAAATGCCCGGGGCTTGCTTGAGTGGGTTGTGGTATGGATGGTAACAAGTTATCATGGGGCCCACCGATGGGTCGAGAAATGGAAGTCTCGGGTCACTTGGGGGCCTCGGGACTCAAGCCCATTTTCTTAGGCCCAAACATGGGTAAGCACAAGAAAGGAGATGGACCATTGCCTCAACCAAAATAAGCCCATTGACCCAATTAGAATAAACTAGCCAAAATAAGCCCATTGATCCAATTAGAACAAACTAACCAAAAAGCCCAACCTTTGACAAAGCCATCCCATCCATTGGATAGATTTTGTGGTTGTCCCAAAAGCCAATATAATTAGGATAAAACCAGCTCAAGCCCTGGCACTCAGTTTGGAGACAAAACCACAAAGGAACGTTGGAAATCTACACGTGAGTGGCTGCTGGGAGCAAGTTCCAAGCAAGAAATATTCAAGGAACCAAGGAGTATTAGCCTACGAGCTGCCAGAAGCACCCTTTGGACCAGAATGTATATCCACTTCCTTTCCCTCATCAGATCTAGCCATGGAAGGGGAAATGAAAGAAGAAGAAAAATAGCTGAAAGTGGGAGTCTCCCACTGAAGCTGCTACATGAAAGGGAGGCCTTGAGCTCCCAAAATCCCTAATTTCGTGCAAATAGATAGAGGCAATTTCACTGAGATAGGAAAGTCAAGGGAGGAGAGGAGAAAGGAAGGAAAAGCTTGGCCAAATTGGAAAGAAACCATTAGGGTTTCTTGGGAAAGGATAGTTTCCCGCAGCTATAAAATGGGGCCTCTCCTACCCAACAAACACAACCCACAACCTTCAGAGAGCAAGCTTTCTCTCTTGCAAACCCAGCAAATTTTCGTGCTTTGCTAGCCCATTTCCCCCATCTCCCCTGCTTTGGCAGATTGCTACAGCTCTGACAGAGTCACTGTCAAGCTGCCGGAAGCTACGAAAATCACCCAAAACTCTCCTCCTTAGAACCTCTCCTCTCTTCCATTAGAACCTCTAACCTTCATAGGAACCCACAAACTTTCTCTTTCCCAAAGTGCTAAACCCATGGTAATTTTGCTCTCATGCCACATGCCCCTCATGCCAAGCCCAAAAGTTCATTTGTGAGTGTGAAGAAATTATCTGTAACTTGCTGTTGTTTTTGTTGGAGAAGATAACCAAAATACTTCCTAAGGCTTTGCTGCCCTTTCGAAGCATTTGGGGCTTAATTTTCGAACTCAAACAAAGGGGACAACTTCATCAGCCCAGCCCACTTGCTGCCGGAAGAAAAAAAGCCCCTACACAGGTTTTTATTTTCCTTTATTTTGTTCCGGTTTAAAGGAGGTACGGGATCAAAAGCCTGGAAAGAAATGAAGTCAATTTTATTGGGCAGATGCTAACTGGGTCTAGCCCAATGAGCCTTGATTTTCATATTTGTGGTCTCAGGTTCGAACTTACAAGAAACCTTGGTAATGTGTGTGTGTGTGAGTAACCCTCATTCCCTTGTAATTTGGACTACGCTTGTATTTAAAAAAAAAATGGAGCAGATTGCAGGAGTTCATGTATAGATGTCTATACCCATTTTAGTCACCCATCAGCATGTGCTTGAACTTGGCCCATACCCATTTTTCCTCGTAAACCAGATGACAATTTTTTTTTTCTTTTGATAGCACCATTACGATTATGTGAGATTATGTATAGATGTCTATAGCTACAAGTGCTGTCCATCGTGGTGGAAAAGCATGACTTGTAGTTCCCAAAAAAGAAAAAGAAATTGTACAAACAATAAGAATATATATTTATAAGATACTTTTATAATGGGTCAATACATCCACAACAAACCACAACTAGGTATCGAACTCATTATAAATATATATTGTCATCACCAATCCATGTGAGTCGAACATGAGCCCTCCTCCAACTAACCGGAGACAAATACCATTATAATAACGGCTAGTTGGTTACACATGTTACAAAAAGTTGAAATAAAACTACCTAACACAACACGTGACAACCCAACATGACAAGCACTTTCTTCTAGCATGCTTGTTGTCCTAAGCAATCTTAGTATCAGTCTTTAATTCATGTTTTCATCCCCACCACATATGGCTCTGCACACACGCACACACAGATTATATGTCAATTAGTGGACATAATTATTGAATCTGATATAGTACACAGCTAGACAGGTTTGTTTTTTTGTTTTTGGCAATTAACTGCTAAATTCTTAATGGCCCCAAGAAGCTATTAGCTATCAAGGGTCAGGATTTGTTACTTGGAACACTCTCCTCCTTGTTTTGGGCAGCAATATCATATATTTTTATTTCTTGTTTTTGGAAATTCAAGTCTAGCAAATTAAGAACCAAAGGACAAGCCCAAGATGGTCAACAAGAACACAACAAACAACCAACAACTTAGACAAAACTCTGAGGCTCTAAACAGCAGCAAACCAGCAACAGCAACAGCAACAACCAGCCATAATAGTATGAACGTAATCTAATCCACATTGAACATAATTATAATCTCATATCTTTCTTTCTGTTTTCATTAAATACATATAGGGGAGTTTTTTTCTTTCTTATACAAGTGATATTATGAAAGGAGAGAATCGAACCTACGGTCTCGGATGCAGGAGAACTTTTAATTAGAGAGATAAAGGACTTTGAATTCAAACACAAAATTGCTGAATTTAATGTGTGAAAGAATGCTGAATGATTAAGTATGGGCGTATGAGTTTTTGTACCAATGTCC